CCGTGATTCTTTGTTCTCTCTCAGTGATATTTAACGATTGGGAAGCACATATTCGGAATCAGGCGATCCTAACCTATCTACTCATACCAAAATGTGTCTACTTCAATTAGAATCGAGGAGTAGCAGCGCATCGAATCTTCCTAACGTCAGTCCCACAAAGATCTATCTCAGTATAGTCGTTTGCCCCCCGCTGCCTCCACTTAAAAGTAACATCTAAATGCACACAAATGATCTCCAGCACCTACTCTATCTACAGTATATTCGACTTTTATCGATGTTTTTTTAAAACCGAATTACGAATTTTTCAAAATCCCTAAGGTTTTCTGCGTATTTCGAAGATTTCTCATTCGTCAACACACTTTTCATCAAATATAATACCATATTCAGAATCAGCGTGAAAAGCTGCATCGAATGATATATAGCTTTTTAATTTTTCTGCAGAAATATTTTCGGTCAAACTGAATTATACAGTTGAAAGCCTCTCCGCAGCAAATTTTGCTAGGAATTTGAATATTTATTTTAGTAATAGTACACAAGTCTATAAACATATTTTTTATAGGTTTTCGAATACGATCTCTCCAATAGTGAGGTTTTCGGAACGTAAAAATATTTTTTATGGGTTTTCCAGAGATCCGGTCTTCAGAAAACCCACAAGGAATTACTTTTGGGTTCTGAAAATCTCATCATTAGAAAGAGCATATTCGAAAACCTATAGAAAAACGTGTTTATAGGCTTTCATATCACTTCTACAGCATATGTCCGCCTGTTCTATAGAAAAATGCCCACTGTGCGTCTGATAAAAAGATTTTATAAATATCTTTTCGTCGATTCACAATCTTGATCGATTTTCACTCTTTCTACTATACTTTACGAAATATGGAACTCTTTGTTTTTAATGTCAACTGCTGAAAAAACATTCTTTTATTCAACTAATTGTAATAATTCTTTGAATTTAAATGAGATATCTGGAGAAAAGAATCCTGAGCGAAAAATATTTACAAAAGACTTCTCTAAAACTGGACGAAAACTAAACAATAAAAATGATTACTTTTTCTTTACCGTTACCCTTGTATTCATTATTAGCATTAGTTGATATAGATCATTACGTGAACAAAAATTTTCAGGTGAATTATTGATTTGACTGATACATACTAGATTAAACTTGCCTTGAGAGTCAAATGAATAATTAAATAGCATTTCAATATTTTTTCCAGGGTTTTCCACCAACTACGAAATCTATTTCAATTTAAAAAAATGTATAGCTCATTAGAGCCTGCTTCTCACATGCAATCTCGATGTTATGCAATGTTCTTTTAATGAATGAATGATTTAAAGGTAATATTTTCTTATATATAATCAATGCTCTCTTGAGATAGCTAATAGAGGTTTCTAACCCATGTTGTTGGTAATGAATCATTGCCATATTATTCAGAATATGTGTGCTTTATCAATTATTTCATCAAATCAACTAAATCCAAAGCTTTCATAAAATAATTCATTGCAAGATTATACTCCTTTTGTGTGTAGTAAATGAGCCCAATATTATTAAATGTCTGAGCGATTTCCCATGATTTACTATTCTCTTGTATTTCGATGGCTCGTTGATAATAATCTAATGCATTCTTATTCTCGCCCTTTTCTTTATAAACATTTCCAATACTAACAAGAATAGTCGCTTCATTTGGTATTAGATCCAGTGCCTTGATGAAACATGAGAGAGCTTTCTCTAACTCTCTTAAACGATAATAAATGAGACCTCGATTATGAATATCATTTGGATGGTCTGAATCTTTAAAAATTTCTATTGTTTTATCATAATCTCCTTGAGAAAAGTAAATACCAGCCATATTTTTAGATCGCGATCTTTAGAATAGAAATATCACCGTAATATATTTTATGAATTGTATCAAAACATATCCTATATTATAAAATTCTATTCAAAACAAAAAAAAAACTCCTATACTTTTGGTAATTCTTGTAATTGATTTGCATCAAGTAAAAGTGCTTCTAATGTTCTTGTATAACGTAAAACATCATCTAATACTGCTGTTAAATTACAATGACATTTATCAACTTGTTCCAAGTTACTATTATAAAATGGCAATGGAAAACATTTAAATATTGCTTTTTATTGAATTTAATTAAAAATAATTTTCTTTTTTTTTCAAATTCATTACAATAATGATAAATAAATCAATAAATAATTGAATAGAAAATTAATTAACAAGAAACAACTACTCTATGAAGATTATTGATTGAGTTTGAATGACCAGTGTTACTGCATAGTTTCATATCTGAAAAAGAAAACAAGAAAAAAATAAAAATAAAAATTTCGACACATATTTAATAAGTGGAAATAAACAAGCAAAATAGCGATATTATTGGCAAAAGACGAATATTTGATAAATAAACGAAAATCATAAATAGTCTATACATGCCACTATTTCTTTATGTAATCAATGGTGCAGAACAAACAAAAAGAAAACATTTTCGAATGACAGGAATACAGATGAGCTAGGTCTGTTTTTTTCAAAAATATATATATTTTGTATTATTCCACTGACTGTAAGTCTATGGTTATACAAAATAAAGTGTTTGTGTGTTTGTAATACAGAGGTGTGACGGACGTACATACATACAGTCATGTGGCAGTGTGACAGACGTACATACGTAGAGTGACTAATGCGTGTGATGGACGTACATATAGTTTCGAGCCTTAGTTCTCCCATACATATACATACGTACGCGAGGAACGTTTTTTCTGCTATGAAACTCATGGACGCCATGAATCATATCGAACAGACTGCTCTGACGACCTTTTCTTTATTCTTTCGATTAGTGCATTTCTCGTAGAGAAAAAATTAAGTAACATACACAGTATTTTTTTCTTCATGCAGTCGTCTACGTTACTGGATTTGTTTGTATTATTACAAGAAGCGAAAGCAACCTTTTCTAGTGGAATTTTTTTGCTCATGCGTACTTCTCACAAACACAACCGACAGGTAAACACATTGCATAAGTTTCACTCTTCTCTCATTCTTTCACTTGTATGAAAATATGCTGTGTGCTGCTGCCGTTTCTTACTCACCTGTACCACAACGAGAATGTATAGAATGGATGTGGAAATCAAACATTTCCGATACTGTTGAGTGGACTTTCTACTTGGATCTGGAAACAGAAATTATCGAAGAAGCATTTCAAAAGAAGGCAACGGAAGCCCTTCTTGATGATAATCACATCAATTTCGAGTATCACGTTCAAATATCGAACAACAATGAAACCAACCCATGTTCCGTCAAACGCGTATCATATGAAAGTGGAGAAAGACTGCGACTGAGAGAGAACAGAGAGAGATTTACGTCGAACCCTATTCCACCCTCTAAATCTTTCGCAACGATGGCACCCGGAAAACGATCCTTTATTCGAACCCTTTTAATTCATTTCAATATTTCTCATAATCAACTACGTCGAAATGCATCTACTCGCCGTATCATGATAGAGAAAGCAGCCGAAGGTCTGATTGTCGAAGGAAAGAACGTAGGTAAACAACGAGAAGGTGAATGGATGGCAGAACAGTTACTTAGTGTCAAAGAAGGAGCAGCAGAAGAAGTGTGGAAAATGTCCGCTCATCTTTATTCGCTGGACAGTTACTTGTATAGAAAGTTGAACGAACTTATGCGTTTAGTGGGTGACGAGGAACATGCACGCTATGTTCAAAGCAAAATGTATACACTCGGCCCATTTACACTTCTCCTTGAAAGACTCATGCAGCGTAATAAGAAGGCAATGACTGTTTATCGTAGTGCTGAACTATCTGATGATTTGATTGAACAATTTAGACAGTCAAGTGGAAGTCATGAAAAACGTTTATTCTCAGCATTCACTTCAACAAGTAGAAGTAAAAATGTAGCTGAGTTTTACGGAGGTAATGTAATTTTCGCCATCAAGATCTTCAAAAATGGCGCCGATATATCCCAGTACTCAGCTTTTCCTCAGGAAGAAGAAGTACTACTCGAAGCTAGTTTCTGGTTCGTCATTCAGTCGTGTACATTTGACAAAACAACGAACAAATGGTTCATACGGCTAAAATGTGCCCCTTAATGTTATTACGAGCTGATTCCAAATATCATATTTGTATTGACTTTCAACCACATTCCGGGTGAGCAATCTTAAAAATACGGAGAAGGCATGAAAAAGTACATTTTTGATCATTTTTAACAAAACTTACAATTTCACCCCTTTAACAGCATTGTAAATTTTTGTGATTATATTATTCGAATTCAGCATCAAAAGCTGCGTATCTGCACACCGGTTTTATTGAACCTTCGTTTGGTGCAGAGCACATGAGCATCGATACCTCTTAGCGAGTGTTATACAGCTCCTTTTAAGACAAAAAAATCGTGTAAAAAGACAGGATTTCACTTTTTAGCGCTGCTAAGTAACAGGCTTTATGATTTAGAACTCAGATGCTTTCCTAACAGAGTAAAAGCTAAGCGATGGCTTTGCGTTCGAAACTGTAGGAAAAGATACTATATCCGTGTCGGTTGCCGGGTTTTGCTTTACGTCATAAAGACTCATCTGATACCTGTCCAATTCTTTCTTTGCTTCCATTCGTATGCATTATACTTTCCTCATAAGAAGTAATCTTTTATCCATTATGCTTTTTCCCTAGTTGATGATCTACTACAATTCTATTCTAGTGAGATTACTGAGTCACTAAGATTCTAGTGAGACTAGTGACTCGCTAAAAGATTCTAGTGAGATTACTGATTACTCAGTAGAATCAGGGTCTATAGCCTATAGACCTGCAACTCTTCGAGGACTCTAAGAACAGGAACTTTGAACTACGCTTTCAAGTTAATTTTAGTAAGGAACAGTGCGTATGACACGTTGAATGTTTGCAGAAATTACGCTTTGGCAAGTTATCAAGATTTTCCAACTTTTTGGATTACAAAAACTCTCCTCTTTCCACTTGACAAAATTTTCGGTTTGCAAAAGTCTGTTTTTTCAAGTTCGCGATGTTTTCGGACATCACATACTGTAGAACCCATTAAAGTCACATGCGTCGTCAAGTTGAAAAAGCGGAATATCTGCTGAATGTTTTGAACGCATTAGATTGCATTAAAAACACATTATTAAGTTTTAATGCATGAGAATCGAAAGAAGAAATTTATAACGGTTTTCATTGCATTCGATTTCATTAAACGTGGAAGACTGCAACAGAAACATGTGCAAAGTTTTCTATATCAAGCGTATTCTAACGCATTATAAACGGAAAACATATTTTTAATGGATTCGAAGGCGTGATAAAGGAGAAAATGGCTTTTAATGCAATCTAAGGAGTTTCGCGATACAAACATTGTGACGAAGTTTCACTTTTTCCAAGTTGCATTTCTAAGTCTTGAACGCTTTCGAATGCATTACACGCAATGTTCGTTTATAATGCGTTAGAATTCCTTCGAAAACCAAATTGCACATAGATACCTCATTAAATTTCCGAAGTTGTGCTAAGGGATTAGTCAATTACTATCGGTTCCAAAAAAAGAGCAGTGCCCGTTCTTTGACTGTTGAACGAAAGTAGGTAAAGACTCGCGATTTTCGCTCTACGATGACCAAGACGTAAGAGCATGTTTTCATAAACCGCAAATGTTTAGAAATTGTTTTCAAAAATCGATTTTCAAGGAGATCTCTGGAAAACCGTCTCCTAACTGGAAAATTAGACATAGCAATATATTAATTTTTTTAGATAGACTAAAGTGTCCTCAACAAAACTGAACCTACACAAAACTTCATCTCTCATGGTTACGCAACGCACAAGGTTTTCCTGGGAGCACTAGGACTGCTCTTCATTTCAGTCAATAAATCTCAGCAATGCATGAAAACATACGTTTCGGCTATGCTGAATCTTGTGGCAATATTTGTTTGTAAAAAAAGGGTTTTAAAATGTAGAGTAAATCAAGTTTTTCAAAATTTAGGGTTTTCCGCCCTTTTCCACCTGTTATTAAAAAATTCACAATTCACTCAAAAAGCATCAGAACGAGGTCAAAACTTCAGGATATAGTTAATTCTGTTTGCTAGATGTGATTACAAAATTGGAAAAATTAAAGGTTGTTGTTCTTGTCCTGTGATTACTAGAAACCCTTTCGGAAAACCACGGTGTTTTATAAGATTTTTTCTTATTGATTTTTTCTTAAACAGAATATAAAACAGCCTAAATACTGTATATTCTGATGTTTTGAACTCATTTCGATGTTTTCTGAGGACGTTTCCTAACCGTCCAGTTAGGAGACGGTTTTCCAGAGATCTCGTTGAAAATCGATTTTTGAAAACAATTTCTAAACGTTTGCGGCTTATAAAAGCATGCTCTTACGCTTGGCCATCGAATAGCGAAAACCGCGAGTCTCTACCTACTTTCGTTCAACAGTTATTCAGAGAACGGGCAGTGCTCTTTTTTTGGAACCGATAGTAACAATAGTAGACAATAGAAATAGACTATTATCTAAATTTAAAAGAATGCGCTCAAGCAAAATGCTTATAACTTTTCAACGACCTGCGATTTTCAGATTCTAAAATGAGTCACTTTGGGACGTAAATCTGCGAAAAAATCAGGGCTTTCGAACAGGTTTACCATGGTGTACCGTTCGAGACAAAATCCGAAAGCTTACTGTTCTCAAACCACGCTATAAAATCCAATCTCAAATAACACCACTAGATAGCCTAAACATTTCTCTTTAAAACTACTCAAGGTCCAGGTCTTCATCTTCTTTGGTTCCCGAAATACAGATGTTTTCTGACGACACACCTATTTCGTTGCAGACATGTCTCGGAGTCTCAGAAACATGTGGATCATAGGTAATCGATCACTCTAATCATCGTGGCGATGTTCATTTCATTTTCCATTCAACTACAACTCCAGAAAAGCCAATTTGGGAAAAGCCGGTTTTTCGTCTGTTACCGTCTAAAATTAAAAGCCGTATATTTCACTCATTTCTCGCCCAAAAAGACTGAAATTTCAGGCAATGATTATAATCATTGTCTCTGTTCGATGGTGTCTAATCCAGTTTCACAAATAAACAAATATTTAATTGTTATCGCAAAAAAGCTTTTTATTTCTATTGTCGATCTGCATGGTCGCTTATGCTGGCAGTATTTGACGCCAGTTTCTGGATTTAAAATAGAGATTCATCGAAGATTCTCAATCAAAATTGACTTCTGAACTGAGTACAGTTGAATTAAGCGAAGTACTCGATTTCAAAGAAGAAAAAGCCTTAAAACAAAATATGCAAATGCAAGAGAATTGCTGGTACTTGATACAAAAGGGCTTATGTCTATTGAAAAAGCAAATGAAGAACATGATAAAAAGTTAACTGTGTTTTCCTGGCATGTTCACAAATTATGCTTGTAAACTTAAATGGAGAACTTAATGCATCAATGAAAAAGTTTCTTACCATCAGCCTTTTTGCTGCTAATCAGTTAAAAATGTTCAAAACTCGTCCGGTTATTATGCTTATTTTGAGAAATATGATGAATTTAGATGTTGGATTACAAAAGGAAAATGATTGCTGGTGTATTAAAAGAACTAAAGAAACCCGTAGACTTAGTACAGTTGAATTAAGCGAAGTACTCGATTTCAAAGAAGAAAAAGCCTTTTTCTTAATGTTGACAGCCTTTAATAAAAATTCTTTTTATAACAATAACAAAGAATTGTTTCAAAAGTCAACAACAAATGTATCGAGTATTGGGCAAGTATGGGTTAACGAAGATTCCCATAATATTGGTAAAGGGAAGACAAATTATGCCCCTAACTGTCATTCTACTCTGCAAAATGTGGCTACATTCATGGTACCGAATAACGCTCCCGATGTTCTCGATGATATATTCCATAATAAAAAAGATTCAAAAACTTGTGTATTAGATCAACAATTTGTAACCGTACTTGAAGCCGCAGGAGAATCGTGCAGAAACGCAGATTCGTGGACCACTAGACATCGCTTCACAGCAGCACGACGCCATGCACTGCAATACGGAGTAGGGAAAAAAATTCAACGTAAATCTGAGCCAATGCAACGTTATTAGTATTTTCAAGTAGAACATTGATTTTATTTTGGAAGAAGAAGAAAGGAAGAATACCCCGCCTTTCGGCTACCTTGTGGTATAGGGTGTTGTTCGGAGACAGTTTCGTACGCCCGATATGTTCCCCACAACCAATACTGGCTATAGTTCTGGACAGAAGGCTCGCCTGACTCAGAGTTCTTTCGCTCAATCGCTTCAGCTCCTCGTACACACTGACTAACTACATACTAGCCACGAGAGCTGGTGTATGTCACAACGTAGTCAGCATGCTATCGGACGGGTGATCCGAGGCAAACAACCGTTAATCGCTTGCTCAGGGTCATTCCATGTCTGGTGGCGCCGAGGCTCGGACACAGTACCTTTGGGGTACGTGTCAAACAACTTAGCCACACAGCCATAGCGGCTCTTTTATTTTGTCTCCTTATATATTTACAGATCTTCCCTTCAGAGAACAAATATTAAAAATATTGAACGGAACACAAGTCTTTGTTCCGTTTGTGAAAAATAGGTTCAAAAGTTAGGTTTTTTAGGTTTATCAGCTTTTTCCACAGAGAAATTTTCCTAGAAGATTTAACTGCAAAAATTTCGGAAAATATGTGAGAAGATGCAGAATTTTCCGGTGAGTCTTCCGATATTTTCAAAATTTTTATGAAATGTATTTTTGGATCAAGGCAAATATTTTTCTATTTTCAGTGTGTCGCAGTTCGACAACTCTGCACCATTCAGTTTTTTGAATGGTGTTCAAACGCGAAAAATGCTATCGGAGATTTAAATAAAGGAGATTTGTAGAGAACTCCATTCTCTATTGAATGAGCCGAGAACCAACTCTGGGACCATTAGGAAGTGCCTCGAAACAAAGAACAAAAGTGACCCATTTATTCTGGGCCACTCGTTATACATATTAAAATTAGAACGGAGAAAGAAACTAAATTATTTCAAAACATGTTTCATTTTATTAAAAACTCTTCAGTTGAAATATATATATATAATGCGGCTTGACTAAATAACCGTAATACGCTAAATAAATGTTATAAGGAAAGTTGATGGCGTGTTAAACAAGAACCGTCGATACGGAGTTACAGTAGTAGAAAAAAGGAAGAAAGTAAAAGATAGCTCGGGAAAGGCAGGACGAAACAATGAAGAAGGAGAAGATTATCTTACAGAGCAGGAGTGCTACAGGATAAAACCGACTGGTTGTATACCAGCGCGGCTATACCCAAGCACGAAAAAAAATCATGAAGCGGGAGCTGTATCTAGATTCAAAGGTACATTTATTTAGCTTCAGCTAGCTGCACTAAAACACATGAAAATTTCATGTAGCTTCAACCGGGTACAACTAGTTGCTATGGATTAATTGGGCAATGCAGTGGCCGTTTCAGCTAGTACACGATTTCAACCGGCATGCAGCTAGATAAATGTACTTTTTAATCTAGTTAATCTAGCTGTACGCGGGCACTGCAGCTATTTTTGCAGCTAGATTTTCTCGCTTACTTAGTTTTGTTTGGGTACGACCTTCTTAAAGCGCACAAACCAGAGCTACCTACGAGACCCATACTTTCCATGTGATTCGCCAATATCAGCGCAACAAGTCATTATTCGATTTCCACAAAATCATATTGTTCATTTACATTGTCGAGCTAAAATAACTATATTGCGTTACCTTAGAGAATCAAACTCTATTCCTTGCCACTTTATGGCGGCTAACGTCTTTCCGGGTGGCTGTGCTTGCAGCTAGAATTACTCGACATAGCAGGACGAGTCGAATGAAGTATGATACGCGTACACTTGAGTCATCCAAGCTGTAAAGATTCAGAAAAGGGCGTTTCTCTACTATATACAAGAAAAAACTTAATTTGAAAGGAGACATTAAATCTTAAACATATTCAATTCGAACTTATCTTCTGATGAGAAGCAGGCTTGAACATTAGATTTGACTTTTAAAAAACGTTTGCTGTAAAGAACTGTTTCTGATAAATAAAAATCGATCTTCTTTCGTAGTGATAGCATTTATAGTATGATTTGTGTTCAAGTAAATGTTTTTATACTTTTGGCGCAGACACTTATTTGAGAACGGGGTGTTTTTCTAAAACAATAATTTAAATGAAAAGACTGTTTTTTGGGTACTTATACTGAGGAATGTTATCACAATAAAACAGATATAAGACAGAAATTGGAACATTAAAGTAGTTTTTAACCACTCTCAATTCGACTAGTGTATTACATTTTTATTATTTCATTACATTTAAAATGTCCCATGTCTTCAATACCGATGAAATACCGTCGGTTACCGAAGGGTATATGGCATGTTTAACCGGCAAATTATCGCACGGTTACCGCGGTATGAGCGGTTACAGATCGGTAATACCGGCGGTATTTTCATTTTGAACACATAGAATAGAGGTTCGAAACTAGATTGGAACTTTCATTTTTTTTGATTTTTATAGCGCGATTACAAGCGCAGAATGACTCTTTTAAGTAGGAGAAAGTTTGACTCGAGTCGAAATTTAAATTTCAACGAGTCTGAAAATTAATAAAAAAGCAATTTTATCTGAAAATAAATCAAGTTTTTTTCAATTTTTTGTTTTGCTTATATGTAATGGCTGCTGCAAAACAAAACGGTGAATGTAAAAATCGGTTTACCGTTCGGTATTTTGTCATACCGTGGTATAGAAAATAACCGTCGCTAAACCACACGTTACACCGAGTGGTACGGTTTAGCGACGGAAGTTTTTCGAACCGGCGGTAATCACAACAAAAGTGCAACATACCGGCATCTTCTAGCTGACGAGGAAACGTTTTTCGATGTATACCTCCGATTTCGTTCATTCATACCTCGTTCGATAGAGGGTTGAGAGTAGGTAAAAAGCCTAAATGGATTTGTCCTCATGCCTCTTGAAGACCCGGTTTACTGGAAAACCGGTTTTCCAGACACTCTAAAAAAATAACCATTTTTGATTAAAATGAGACATCTCCCAGCTCTACACGATCTTTCTTTGTAAACTTAAAGAATTTATCAGAAAAGCCCTAAATTGATTTCGGGGTAATAGTAAAACATGAAGACATCTACAGACATCCACAGACAGCTGCACAGACATCCACTTCTACATAGAAGTGGATGTCTGTAGGTGTCTTCATGTTTTACTATTAACCGTTGATTTCTTCTTATTTCTTACCTTTGAGCTGACAATGAACATTTAGGGCTTTTCTTGTAAATTCTATAACTTTACAAAGAAAGGTCGTGTAGAGCTGGGAGACGTCTCATTTTAATCAAAAATTGCCGGGCTACAATCCTACCTTATTAAGAAACGGTTTGGTTATTTTTTTAGAGTTTCTGGAAAACTGGTTTTCCAGAAAATCGGGGTCTTCAATCGGGGTCCTCGTAAGAATTCAATGACAAAAGTGTTCGACGAAGTTCCGTTATTTGTTCGAACATTACAACAGAATTCAACTGCCACAGTTGCTGATTTATTAATAGAATTCCCATGGTTATCTGAACTGAACTTTCTCATTTTATCAATGACAAATTGTTATTTTATGCTGGTGAATTTTAGAAGTCTAATATACTCTGAATATTTGTTTGGATTTTGTAATGCATTGTTTATGTACCTTGTTCTAAAAGAAGTTTTACGAGTGACAACAGTCTTCTGCTGGCTACCAATTTTATTGTCGATGTATGCAGCTGGCATAACAAACTCATATGAACAGGTGATCAAACTGGGATTTGTTGAGTTTGCCCAAGTGGCATTTTGGATTTTGACGTATGCAGTCTATAACTCATCACAGTTCACTAATAAAAGAAAGCAAGTCAAATCGCCGGTTCTAACAAAATAAATATTTGCCAATAATCGATCTGTTTTTTTGTAAAACTTGCGTCCAAGAATAGTGAGCATACCAATAGAGACAATTTTCTTTTCCAATTTCATACAACTCGGTTCTAGTAACATCGTAATCCATTTTATCATTTTCGTTTTATTTATGGTATACTCATCTTTTTATACACTATGTGCAAAATACAACTTGTATATATCTATTTTTTATCTCTCTCATTCTCTTTACTGTCTATTGTTGTGTTTAAATTAATCTCCTTGACTTATCTACTAATTGAACTATATATGTGTAAGGCGCAGATCATTCAAAAATCGAGCAAATTTTTTTCGGACATATTACACATCATTCAATAGAATTTTTTGAACTGATCAAGAATATGTAGTAGTTAATTTTTCGAAACCTTCTTTTCATGTGGAAAAACTAGAAAAAACGACGATATTTGAAAAAGATAGATTGTCCGACTTGGGTTTTTAGTCGGAACGTTTCAAACTACTGTTTTCTTATTCAGCATTAAAAACTGAATTATAAAATGATATTAAATTCATTTCGAAGTTATTAATGCCTGTCCGCCATGGGCGTTCGAAAGGACCAATGGGTAATAGGGGTGAGTAATATTGTAAACCTATCTAGTTTTTTGTGTTAACGGATGAACCCGTCATTTGCATCTCGGTAGACTTTCTGTAAACCCGACTTTAAAAGTACGGCTTACTTTACTTTTTTCTAAATTTTGTATCGTTGCTGAGACAATTCATTCTTTCCAAAATCAGAGGCGAAAAAGTCGGAATTTTCCTCGTAATTCTTAAATTTCTCCAACAGAACTAAATTTCTATAGAATAAAAATATTATATCTGGAATCAGAATAAAAAAACTAATCGACTGATAAGTATTTCTATCCTATCAGAGTATTTCAATTATTTTCGAATTTTCACCTCTTAGAGATTTTCACCAAAAAATGAAAATGAACTAAAAGTTTCGAAATACACACCAGTCGATTCAGCTTTTGATCCTGCTTCCAAATATGATATTTTTATTCCATAGAAGTTTAGTTCTGTTGGAGAAAATTGAGAATCACGAGGAGAATTACGACTTTTTCGCCTCTGATTTAGAAAAAGTGAATTTTCTCAGCTTCTCAGCAACGATACAAAATTTAAAAAAAAGCAAACCGTTCTTTTAAA